CGTCAACCTCTGGTAGTGTTGGAGGTATAGGCTTGTTGATGTATCTATGTAAGCCAAAAATGGCTGGCAGAGTGCCGCGAAACACCACCCTTATTTTTGCACAATAATGGTGTGATAACTGTTCCTGCAAGAACATATAAGGTGAAATGAAGTAAAATCAGGTGTAACATTAATATATACCCAAAAGAAGCAGTGTATGGAGTACCTATGTTCACATTACCAATAATATGATGCACAACATGCCATAGAAAAACCGGTGAATGTTGAATTTGAATTGTAACCTGAACCCAATTTCAATATCAACATGGCACTTGGCATTAACAGTAAAACACACCGTTTTTGATGTTAAATCAACAGAAAAAACTCCTGAACATAAACAAAATGATCAGAATATATAATAAGGATAATAGTATAAATAAAAATCGACGAATCGGCCTATCATCGCCCTTACACACATTCACCACTCCCAATCCCCATTCCACGCACAGATTGTTTACCTCTTGGTTTACCCCGTGTTCGCAGTCTCCCGGACGACGAAGATTCTATACGCCGTCCGACCAATCACGTTCAAGATCAGCGGGGCTTGGCCGCGGTTCTCGAACGCCATTGGCCAGATTACGCAGAATCTTCGTCGTCAGGAAAACTGTAAACACGGGGCTACATTTTTCGCTATGGTAACAAAAGCGCCAGAATTGACTACCAGAATTGGATCCGAAGGTCAAATGGGTCACGTGACTGTCAAGTTCAGATGGACAACACCTGGATTTTCCCATGTCTCCGAAACGGGCTCCAAAACGGGCACGCGACGGGGCGCAACAGCTGATTGCGACGGGCCCGTCGCAATCAGCTGTTGCGCCCCGTCAGTGCTGCCGCCGCCCGGTTCCCACTGAGCCCGCCAGGGACGGGCCGCTAACGGGTCCGTCAACGGCGACGGGCCCGTTTCGACGGGTGACGGGCCCAGTGGGAACCGGGCTTGAAAGACCGGCATGAGCCGTCGTTGGACCCCAGAGGCCAGCAGAGGGCCCTCGAAGGCCAAGATGGGCCTTCCTCAGAGGCCAATGCAGGCCCTTAGAGGCCGGCATCAGGTCTTTAGCAGCCAGTGCGGGGCCCTCGTTGGCACCTAAAGGTTCGTCTTGGGACACCAGAGACAGAAATAAGGCCACCAGAGACCGGTGTGAAACGCTCAGACGCCGGTTGGGGCCCCTGAGGCCGGTCTCATAGGCCAGATGTGGGGCTTCAGAGGTCGATGTGGGCTCTTAGCGGCCAACATGGGCGCTTGACCGCCACTGAAGTTCCCTCAGAGGTCAGTGTAGGACGCTTAAAGACCGCGGGTGTGGAAGCTATATTAATAGCTGGGAGTGGTTTTTTTTTTAGCCTCGTGACGATCGAATGAGGGCCAGGGCCCCATACACCTATGGGGGCCCATCGGTTGTTTGAGGGGGGGGGGGGTCAAATGATATGATGGCCCCCTTTATTGGCCTTTGGGGTGGGGTGGGGCATGGCCCTGATGTCCCCCCCCCCCCCGCGACCGCCACTATGTACACATTACACACAGGCCTCTGAGATTGCATACTAGCTCATGCAAACTCTTTGCAGGCCCCGGAGGTCCCACGCTAATTTAAGAAACCAAGCTGGCATACAGCGTCACCACCGGGCTTCTGAGGTGCACAGCACCAACCCATGAGGTCTTACTTTAGGCGGCGTTCGATGTCTCCCGGACGGCAAAGATTCTATGCCGTCCGGCCAATCCCGTCCAAGGTCAGCGGGGGCTCGGCTGCGGTTATGAAACGTGATTGGCCGGACGGCGTAGAATCTTCGCCGTCCGAGAGACATCGAACGCGGGGTTGGTGTCGTAGAGCCACGCTCATTTGGCAGGGCCCACCCGGCACTGCCGAAGAAGGTCTCATGCCAGCCATTGCTGGGCCTACGAGAGCCTCAAGTAAACCCACGCTGATATTCCATATAAGATCCGGCCATGATACTCGTGAACCGGTGCCAGCGACGCTGACCGCCAAATTGACAGAATGCGAAACTGAGCCTACTCATGAGTGAAATTTACGTCCTTTGATGGCGCAAGAAAGAAAATGAAACATACAAAAAGCTTTCTAGAACTTTTGTTCGATCTGAAAGGTGGGGCCAAAAGATAGTATGGCCCCACCTTTCAGCACCAAAGGGGGAGCCATGGCCCCCGTGGCCCCCCCCCCCCCTGGGACCGCCTATGCTCCTGTGTGCCTGAGAGGGCCCTCTGTGTGCCTGAAAGGACCCTCTGTGTACCTGAGAGGGCCCTCTGTTTACTTCACAAGGTCCCTCATTGGCCTAAAGGTGTCCTCTAATAGTCCTCATGGGACCCTAAAAGAGTTCTACAATACTTTCCTTTTTGCGAATAAAATGGGAAGTGTTCAAAAGGGCCCTTGAAGTCATTTCAATTTTTTCCGTGTTATAAAAAAGAACTTTTTGTCTAGGCTCCAGGGGGTCCTAGGACCCCCAGGACCCCCCTTGGATACGCCACTGTGTTCAGCTATTGTTCAACTTGAATTCAGAATTAAAAACACTGGTAAGAAGAATCGAAAAACTCAACAGAAAGCTTTCTAAAGCACAACATGCCGTGATTTTTAATGGTCATTGTTTGAATGAAGATATTTTGCCTAATTATACGAATATACCTATATATATATATATATATATATATATATATATATATATATATATATATATATATATATATATTCGGGTTACCGAAAATCGTAAAACTTTTGGGATTTTTTTTTTGCTTTTTTATAAAAAAAACAACTTTTTTATTTTCGGGAGCCCAAGATCACAAAAGTTTGAAAATGAATAGCAGTTTTGTGGCGCCGTCTTTTTCTCTATACGACCACATAAAGACTTTGAAATTGCTTGTTAACGGTAGCTTTTGTGAGCGTTTCAAAATTTCATGTTTTTTGCTCATTTTCGCTCGAACATGACCTCAGTTTGACCTCAATAACTCCTGACATAAGGTGACCAAAACTTGAAATTTTGCGTTGAGGTGTCAAATTGATGCCCGGGAAGGTACCGCGCCGCCGTTTCCTAGCTACTCAGGAAAAAACACAAGGGGTGGGCCATATTGCCCCCCCCCCCAGCGGGGCGAGGGTTAACCCGCGCACCGACGGGGGTCTGCGCCAACTTCGTACCGACGGGGGGGGGGGGGCGGATGACCGCCCCCCTTGAGATCTCGAGAACGAAGCAAGCTAGCCACAAGCGGTAAACGGCATCGGATACGCACAGTCAAGGTCTACAATTTTTACACAGGTCATTTTCAGGTCAGGTCAAAGATGACGTCACAGGAGTCGAAAAAGTCAAAATGGCGGCGCTAGATATGGAGAGTTTTTTCGAATAACTTTCGAATTAGTCAAGATAGGAACAACCTAAGGGCATCATCGTGATCCTCTCGTCAATCCGCATCGAATGATATATATGTTGACTTCGAAAGGTCAAGGTCAAAGGTTGACCTCAGGTCACGTGACCTCGAGGTCATCATGTGTATCATTCGATGCGTCTTGACAAGCTGAACACAATGAGACCATCCGCGTGGCTGTATCTTGTTCCTGTACGGAGTTATTGGCCAAAAACCTTTGTTGACCTTTGATGACGTCACATGACCTTACAGCTGCCCAACAGCAAAACAGACCTCAAGGTAGTGAAGGTTGGTCGTATATGAAGTCATGTATGGTATATGGGGCCATTCCGACCCGTTTTAGTGGTAAAAACAGGGAGTTGATTTTTCCCCATTGACTTATAATAGGGAGGTCGCGAAATTGACCTGACCTTAGGTCACCGATATCAAAATTCCGAGATATACAAATTGTAGCTACTAATGACATTATAACATCCTGCGACTTTCAAAGGCCTCCGACATCTACTGTAGCTCTGGCATGGTGACAAAGTTGCAAAAAAGTGACTTGAGGTTGGGTCATTCAAAGTGACCTGGTGACCTGACCTTAAAAGTTAGGAGGTTCAAACTTGCACACCATGTGTAAAATTGATGAAGGAATAGTCGTACCAAATTTCGGGCGCGGTTTTCCCGCTATTCGCGAAAAACCTCAGGGGGGGGGCGGATATCCGCCCCCCCCCGTCGGTGCGCGTGTTAAGCAGCAAATGAAGTGTAATTAACAGCAGGGCTGCGGAGTCGGAGTCGGAGTCGGAGTCGAAGTCGGAGTCGGTCGGAGTCGACAGTTGTGACCGGAGTCGGAGTCGGAGTCGGAGTCGATCTTAGAAACCCGACCCGGAGTCGGAGTCGGAGTCACCGAAAATCTGTCGACTCCGCAGCCCTGCTAAGTCTGCGGAGTCGGAGTCGGGAGTTGGAGTCGGTCAGAGTCGACAATTCTGCCCGGAGTCGGAGTCGGAGTCGGAGCTGGTTTTTGAAAGCCGGAGTCGGAGTCGGAGTCGGAGTCGCCGAAAATCCATCGACTCCGCAGCCCTGATTAACAGAGGGTCTTTTGTTAATCTTTTTTTAGCAATTGACAACTACCATTTTCTCCAGCGATTTGTCCACCTTGATTTCGATCACTTAGCTGTTCAGATATTAGAATTTTTCGATGAATGATGATACATCTATCCTGCAAATAGGCGTGGTTTCAATTTGTACCATCAGGCGTTTACCTGGAAAATGTAAATTCCAAAAACCCACAAAACGGCAAGATTTAAACAGGAGTGTCTTCACCGGTGCTCACGATGCAAGCTTTCCTCTGGAAATCCTCGCAAGCGCACATTTAAGGTCTATGGCGCAGATTTCCACTTTTGGGGTACGCGACACGCGTTTGCCGCTTACTATCGTCCCTAATCCCGTTCGAGCCCAGATCCCTCAAAGGCACGTCGCGCATCCTTGGTCTATAAGTTGTGCAAATTTCACCGCGCTTGGCGCAACGGTCTGGCCTGCACCCCACGAAAAGGATAGACATCTGCTGCATGCCCTAGCCCTATTGCAATGCATCATTTTTACATTATGTTAATGCTTCTTTCAGATAAAATATGACGCTGGAACGCGTCCGTCTTCGATTGAAGAAATTCGGATGGTAAATTTTGACGGAGAAGTAAAAATCCAGGAAGATTTTCTGACGGGGCTGAAGAATCTTCGCGCATTTCACCTGAGCAACATCAGCAACCTCTGCATTGGTAAAACCGACTGGAGGAAGACACTAGAAACTGAGAATATGACCATTACAATAGATAATATAAACCGACTTGAACTGGAACGTGATGCCTTCTCAGGATTGCAGAGCCCTGGACCCAAAATCGACATCAGCGGAGTGACCAACTGCAGCATTGTGGACTCTGCCTTTGCCGCCGACTCTGTCATCAAAAGTGTGTCTTTTCGAAACGTTCGGAGCTTGACCATAGAAGACGGTGCGATTCAGTCCGAAATAGGACAAGTTCACATCACCGACAGTGCGCTGCTCGACAGCTGTGGGAGCAACACTTTCAGCGGGCATGTCGGCAACTTCATCCTGAATAGGGTGACGATCGTCCCGGCGCTCCGCGCTGGCTGTCTCCAGGCCGATGGCGGCTGGGGGAGCCTCACTGTGCTGTCCAGTCGTCTGGGAGACATCGAGCCGCTCGGCATCAGCGGCACGTTCGACCACTTTCAGATCCGGAACAGCAGCGTGGGGCGAGTTGGCCAGAGCGGGCTGAACTTCAGCGCGACCTCATTCACCATCCACTCCACTAAGGTCAGGGAGCTGTCGTCGCACGCGTTGGACGTACGTTTCAACCATTCAGCATTACTGAAGATGTCCTCCTTCCTCTTGGTGCGCGCAAACGCCTTCATCGGTCTTGCAGCTAATCCCCGAAATACGGCAACGCTTTCTCTCCAGCAAGTCGTAGTTCAAGAGGCAGAGCATGGCTCCATGGCCTTCGATGACTACGGACGGCTCTCCCAGCTCGACGTTGTCCTTCACAGGGTGTGCAGCTGTTACCCCGATCACCAGGCGCTTCGACTAATGACAGGAGACAAGATGTTCAGCAACGCCACCCACGACCAGCGAGGAAGGGCGCAACAGTTTGTGGCTCAGGTACGCTGCACAGTTGGAAGACGCACGCCAACTCTAGCAGAGTTTCTCTGCTTGGAGTGCGCTGACCGCGGTGAAGCTGCGTCTCTGTGCCGGTCTATAGAAGCCAGAGGTTCTGGTTGGAAAAGCTGGAAGCTGGCCCCCGTCATCGGACTACCATTGCTGTTCGTGGGTGTGGTCGCATTGCTGATTGTTAGAAAAGTGAGACAGCGAAACACCAGCCCAACGAACGACATAAGCCCGTCGCTAGCGCTGCCGCAGGTTCCGAAGCGAGTCTCTCCTGAGCCCCGCTTCGGTGAAGCTCTAAAGGCGAGACCACGCCAGTGCCAGAATGCTGGAGGAGGCGTCACATCACAGCACGACCAGCTCGACTGCAGCGGTCATCGGGAGCAGCAGCACGACCTCGACTCAGAGCCGGTGTACTGTGAGATAAACGACCTTCGCTTTGTGCCCATGTCGCACCTTCCGCGAGGCCCCGCAGGTCAGCCACTGTACGATGACTGTGGCCCCGCAGGTCAGCCATGCTATTGAGACTGGTCAGTCGTGCCAACCGGTGCAAAAAGTGACCTGCTTCAATGGGTAAATGGTCTACAAACAGTGCTTGACTGCAAGTAAAGGACACTTCCTGCAGTTTGTATGCGCTTACAAGCGTGGTGATGCATGAAGGTAATCGACCACTGTAACTGCTTAGTGCTTCGTTCAGAGAAAATCTGTCTGCCCGAAAAGCAGGAAGAAAAATGTGATCGGATATCTTGCAGACAACATTAATGCATCAATGGCAGTTACTCTTCAAATGATCAAATCTGTTCTTTATGCGTACGTAATATTTCTTGTATAGAGTTAGGTTTATGCTCACATATTTTGCTGAGAAGCAGTGTTCTCAAAGCTTGTCTGTACAATCGACCTGAGTTGATGTTAGCGGACGATGAATATGCGAAGCATATGAGTGAATAGTGTGCCGGCGCGGATTTAGTGTATGTGCATGCATTCCTATATATTCTGCTTATGTTATAGGTGCATTTAACATATCTTATACGCACTTTCATATTGTGGCTACATCAGACAGCGTCATAGGTGTAGAAACGTTTTCAAAAGTGTGTGATTGGGAGGGGGGAAGACTAAGTCGGGTTCGTTGTCCGTTGCTGACCCGCTGCTGGAGCTGAAGGGTGCATCTGTAGCACATCCCCTTCCCCCCGACGCTCGATGAAAAATTGTCTTTCTCTGGCTTTTTTTTGTTTTGTTTTTTAGAGAATAAACGGGCTTCAATGCGCACAATGACACCTCAGATCAAAATTTCCGATTTCGGGCTCTTGTAAGTTGTACCAGCAAGACGGTCTTTTATGTACGCTTGACGTGAGCGGTGAGGCATTGACGTGAGGCAAACGTGTGACATTTCCATTGAAGTCTCAGTAGCCGCTGCGGAATTCCCCGTAATGGCATTCATCCTTCCAATTTACCGGAGCCCTTTTCAGTTTAAGTACCGGCAGTCAAGGACTTGACGATTTGGGGATTGCAACTTATGGTAAAATGGACCTTGCCGACCCTATGGTGGCCCGATTTGCTACCATACTCGTAAAGGGCTCCCTTGATAGCGTATCAACACCCGTTACTCGGTATACGTTTTCGGTGCAAGTGGTGCCCTTGAGTATCATTGGATACGAACTTCAACCAATCAAAAAGGCTTTTACAATTTACATTAGGAAGGGTACAGTAAGAAGGGTACTTTTAGAGTGGGAAGGGACTTTACTCTATACTGGTTTTCACAAGGTCTCAGACTAGGGACAGTGGTGCTGGATCGGCCCTCGCTTAGGTTTCCATGGGAGATCTTCATGTCCGTCTGGGCAGCCGATGCTGGTCTGGAAAGTGGAAAGACCCACTTCTCAACAGACCCAATCTATATCCGGAATCGTCTTATATATGTTTGAGGGGGGATCTGACGACTCGTTTAGAGGGATTTTCACCAAATTCCACAGGACTCCTATACTGGCATATCAGAGGAGCATGTCCTCTGAACTTCACGCCAGCCGAGAGGGTTGTCGGTCTGTTGGGTCGTAGCAGCCCAGCGTCCAGCGACGGCTCTTGGGATGCAGGGGTTTCATTGTTTGGTACATCTGGATACCGAAATGAAAAGCTGGGGATGGGCGATGGCATGGTCGAGCAGAAATAAAAAAGTGAGTTCTTCAGATGGCAACATGGGGCTCCCAGAGATGGTCAGCAAGGGGCATCTTCTAAGGCCAGCATAGCCCTCATGCCCTCAGCGGAGGACGTGGGGCCATCAGAGACCGCTATGGGGCCGTCGGCATGGGGCCTTAAGGGAACTGTGTGCAAGGCCCCCGTGACCTTAGTAGGGATCTCGAATGCGATAGGTTGAAGTAAGTCTTAACCCGCGCCCCAGTGGCGGTCTCAGCCAACTTCGCCCTAGTGGGGGGGGGGGGGGGCATATGTTACCACCCACCTCTAACTCAAAAACTAAGAGGGCTAGAAAGACGCGGTAAAAAGCAGTCGATAGCTCTCAATGCGTACGTTTGAAAGTATTTTAGTCATTTTTCATCTTAGAGCAATATTGGGGTCACCAGAGGTCATCAAAGGTCAAAATTTGCCAATGGTCATTATATTTTTCAGAAAACATGCCGTTATCTCAGGAACTATGGTAGCTAGAAAAACGCATGGAAAAGCAATCGATAGCTTTTGAGCTCTTCTTTTGATAAGGTCCTTATCAAAATTGACCTCAGGTCAACGGTTTAGCCTCCAGAGGGCAAAAACTCGAAAAATAGCTGTTTTTACGAAAAGTGTTTTTCGACAATAACTTTCGACTACAAAAAGCCACGACATTTCTATTGCCAGAATCGTGTTCCGCTCGCCGAGACGCGTCGAATGAACTATAATTTGACCTTGAAAGGTCAACTTGAAAATTTGACCTCAGGTCAAGGTCATGACCTGACCGGAAAAGGTCATGTTGCATATCAGTCGATGCGTCTCAACAAGACAAACACAATGAGACCATCCCCAGCGTTCTATCTCTTTCCAATCGCGAGTTATTGGCAAAAATCTGTTTGTAGCCTCAAATGACCTCGGATGACCTTTCTAGAGGCTATCAGCAAAAATGACACCTTGGTCATCACGGGTGGTCCAAATCATTGTGATTCTGAAATATTTGGACTGTTCCTATGCGTACACACGGATCTAGAGGCATTTTCATTTTTCTCCATTGACTTGTAATGGAAAGGTCACTCCACTGACCTGACCTTAGGTCACGGATATAAAAAATCCGAGATATACAAATTGTAGGCGCCCATAACAGCATGCATTCCACCAAGTTTAAAACCTTTCTGACAAACACTGCAGGCTGGACATGATTGCAAACTTTTTTAGGCTTGGTCAGTTAACTTGACCTGGTGACCTGACCTGACATGACCTGGGGTCAAAAATTTCACACATTGTCCAAAATTGATGTACCAAAAGCATACCAAGCGGCGCGGCGCTACGCGCCGCGGTTTTTTATTCACACGCAAAAAACGTGACAGGGTGGTAACATATGCCCCCCCCCCACTGGGGCGAAGGTTAAGAGGCCGGTATGGATCCTCAGATGCCATCATAAGACCTTCAGGTCAGTATAAGACTCTTAAAGGCCAATCCGGGTCCTCGTAGACCGGTGTGGGGCGGGCCCTAAAAGACCTGAGTAGGACCGCTGTCACCGCAGAGAGGCGCCTAACCCGGCAGTTGCTGAGGACGTCCATGACCGATGACTCAAGAACCAATAAGTGCAGCGAATCAAACGGGCGAGGCGGAAAACGAAAGAACGTGGCCAGACGCTTCTGATAAGTCCTTTACAATTGAATTTTGAGGTCATGGGCGAGGTCAAGGTTAGGTAAAACACCTGACGTTACGCTTTCAGTATCATGGATTTTAGAGCCTCGCATCCCGACTAACGTAATCCCTCCCCCATCCATTGATCCCGTGGGACTCGCTCCACTCATCTCACTCTCACACTCACACACACTCACAACTCACTCACCTAGCATCCTGACCACCATCCTGCGGCACTGCACCTGCGAGCGCTCTGCCTCGCAGCTGTTCCCAGCCTCGGAGCTAGCACAGCGCCGGAGGCTGCCGCTGCGCCTCAGCGCCAGCGCGATGTTCAGGTACAGCACCAGGATCAGCGCCATTGGGATGACGAAGAAGAAGAGCGTGCTGAGCGGCATCAGCAGCAGCAGCTTCCAGTCGGGATCGGCGAACGAGATGCCGCACCAGGAGGCCTCCTGGATCCGCCGGCCGCCGTGCTCGTACAGAAAGTTGACCTGACGACGGAACATAGATATAGGAAGATAAGTACTCGGACAGAAGGAGTCGTCAGATAGTTGAAATAGAAAAGAACGTTGATAGACATGCTTGACATGTTGACATGTTGACATGTTGTTTTGAACAGTTGGCATGTCGATGGAATACAGATAGATAAGTAAGTACAGTTACATAGATAGAAAAACGAATCGTCAGATGGTTAAAGTTGAAGAAGATGGAGCAGAACGCTGATGGAACAGTCGTCAGTCGACATACGGATTGAGTAGAGTGGCGATGAGCAAGTTGTCCTTTTGATGGCAGGGAATGTTGATGGTAAAGTTGACCAGTTGAATAGACATAATGTCAATGGGGATGAGTGCAGACTTAACCCACCAGAGCGTCCGCTGTAAGTTCTATGAAGTGCGCGATATCAGATTTATGTTATCTTTTTTCATTTTCGTGGACAATGTGATGTTGCATTGATTGATTACACAATCATGAACACATCATAAATGCTGTCGGCAATGTGTAGCAAAAAACGCACGACATAATGAGAAGAAGTCAAAGAAAAAGTGTCGACAATATCCCATAACATGCGCGCTGTCATGGCAACTACCATTCATCTTCACAACAAATGGTATCTGCTCTGTTATGGGCGACAAAAGAAAACTAGACTAATGAATAAATAATCGCTGAGGAAATGTGTTTCCAGCACCGTAGGCACGCGATACTTCAATTATCGACCGATCACACCATACAAATAGCAGCGAATCAGTGCGGGCGGGTGCCACCGGCCTCCCCCCCCCCATTCCTCGCCAGCAGGGAGGGGGAGGGGGCTGTGGGCGGTCCCCGGGGGTGGGCGGCGGCCCATGAGTCCCGCATGGTGCCTTCTCCTGAGGGCTCGGCAAACAGTCCGCATTGATCGCTTTCCCGCGGCGCGGCTCTGTCCCTAGTGCCACACTCGAGAATATAGAGACCGCTACCGAGCAGCATCGCTGCATAGCTCACGGTTGGGACAGCGCAATGACCCCACGGTTACCCCTGAAATTACCCCGTTAACTTGCCTCCAAGCGGCTACATAGGTAGTGGTTTCTCTTCTATCACACTACAACATTACGATTGGCAACTTTGGCAATCCAATTTGGTGGTATTCCAAGTTTGATAATCCACTTTGGAGCTGCAATCCACGATAACTACATGGTTTCCCAATCCCTTTGAGGTTACTCCGCGATTTTCCGTGGTCACCAGCAATCGTGCATCGTCATTCGTTACCCTTCTTAGTTATCGATCAATAACTCCATGGTTACCCCAACTATCCCGTAATCACCCCAGTTATGCGAGTATCCCTTGCACACGGTAACTCTCCGGTTAACCCCTAACTGCAATACAAGCATGGTTTCCTCCTCGTTGCCCTAAATTTACCCCACACTACGACCTACAGCGGTCGGTAAGGCGCCGACAGCAATCTGTCATGATTGTAGGCCGACCGATGACAGCTGAAACGAAATACATATATGACAGATGGGAGGACGTCTGGCATTACCCGCCGTCCCGCGGAGATGCTGTAGAATGAGAGAGAGGCTGGCGAGAAAGTTATGGACGGCCCTTGACACACGGAGGCGTAATTACGCACACTCGCAGCTGTTTTATGGTGCGGAGAGCGTTATAAGAGACAAAAATAGCGCTCACTTGGGACACTGTCGCACATACTCACCAGTAGGTAGGTGCGAGTTATCACATGAGTTATGCACTAGAAAGTTGAGTAGGGTGTAATTGTGGAGCGTCAGATATGCTTGTAACAGTCCAGCCGTAGAAAGCTATTTTTGTGGCATTATTATTTTAGATGTAGGCTGTTAACCAATCATTGCTAGCAAAGAACTTGACTAGAACTATGCACAACCTGCGT